GAACTGACACCATCACCTTAAAAGTCAAGTCATACAAGCAGAATTTTCTTCTTAGTAAACTTTAAGAACTTCAGTGAAAGACACTTTAATGACATCAGGTCGTATTTTTTAATCTAAAGCTGAGCTGAGTTTTCCTCCTCCTTCCGGTAACTCTGACTGTAACTACAGACTTACACAAATCAAACAGACGATTCGCCGGCATCTTTACAGAGTCTTGACAGGATGCTGTTGTACAAAAGTGAGGCTTGGATCAATTATACTAATGTTCATCTCCACCTCCAGCCATATTTACATCATTTGATGTGGCTGCAGTCCTTTGTGGAGGCTTTGATCAGATCAGATCAGAGTCACCCATCATTTGCTGTTTACTTGTGTGAGATCACAAACACACAGTAAGTGTAAATACTCTGCTCTCTGCTCTCTGTGCTCCATTGTTACGGTCTCTACGCTCTGGAGTCAATTTGTAAATTCTTTGAGGGTAAAATGATCCTCTCCAGCTGATTAGACTTTTGTTATTCAGTAGATTTTGAGCTAAAGGCCTAAAGGATGTTTGAAGTGTGAAGACGGTACAAATGCTCTGTTAGTCTGCTGGAGCCTGGTAAAATGGTGACTACTTTGATAGAAACATATGAGTACCACAATACTAAGAACATGCACTTTACATTTACATCTTACAATTAAACAATATATTATATCTAATAAGAGGAAGTACAGCCAATAGGTCCCAGGTTTGAATCCTCTGACAACAGTCACGGTGAAGCCTAATGTAGGAAAAATGTTTAAGAGAAAAACTTCTTCTTCTTCTTCAGTCTATAGATGCAGCGTATTAACCTACTGTATGTCTCTACTTCATATCCTCATCAGTTTCAGGTTTATAGTTTTAACCAAATCCTGAAGCGGGAATGAAACCAGGGATTTTATTATTCAACAGCTCAGTCTGGAAAACAAGCTCAGCCTCAGTCAGTTTTTAGTTGCGTTATAATTAGTACTTTTTCATTTATATAACTCCGAATGTCAATCCATAAACATGTCACAGGGGGAGTGAAGGTCTGTCGAGCTTGTCCCCAAACACTCAAACTGAGCTGAAAGAAATGGAATGAAGCCTCACAGGTCACAGAGCAAACGGTGATGTGTTCATCTGTTTCTCTGACCAAATGTATGGGGTTATTGTTGCCTGGCAGCAGACAGCAGGAACTGAAGGATTTCAACAAACCTCATTAATTTTCTTCTGCCACTAATTAGAAGCTTGGAGACAAATATAAAATCAACTGACAGATTGACACGCTGACGTCTTGATCCCATAGAAATTATATTTCCAGACTAATTGTTAAAAATGTTATAAAAACCATACAATGTGAAGTGATGACTATAATTCAATTTATTCAGCAACTGAGAAATCAACACTCTGGATGAACTGAAGGACGATGGAGACGTGTGGAAGTCCTCAGGGTTTTTTTTTTTCAAAATATGTTGAATTCTGTCTTTCAGAGAGACAGTTTCTGACTGTAGGGACTGTGTTATTCACTGTAGCATAGTGGATACGTGCATATATAGGTTACATGCTTATGTTGTAGCGGCGTAAGCACATATAGTGTCTATAGGAATGTGCAAAAATACAACGGTGTGTGTTTGATTTTCTTTTCTATCCTAACATTTAGAGCTACGGTTCCAAACTTGGGGGGCAGTACCCCTCAAGAGCAGGGAGATTTGACAGAAGGGGCAAAACAAATACCCTTCCTTTCATTAGAATATTTCCAATATTTCCTGTCAATGAGACAATATGGAGAGAGAGCTTAAAGAATGCCAGAATAGGGGGCGCTGCAGAGAATGTGCAGCAACCAGTCCTATTAACAGATATATGGTATAAAGACAGAAGTCCATTAGCAAATTGATCTTCCTTTCTTTTCGTGTTAATCTGAACAACAGCGGTAAAACAAAGGAGAGTTCTTTCCTCCTGTGCCTTCGGGGAACTGTTCATCGATGACCCTTAAAACCTTTTTTTTTTCCCATTATAACCGTCTCTTATTAGACTCACAACACTGCAGCCAGCTCATTAGACGGGTGCTCTGCTACTGTCCAGTGCACACGCTACACCGAGTGTACAGTCGAGGGCCATATTTCCTGGGACCTTCAGGACATCTTGATGATCCAAACCCCCAGTGGCGTTACATCTGATTTTTTTTTGTTTGGGACAAAAAAAACAAAAAACAAAAACAGTCAAAGATAATGAAGGACTTAACTCATGTGTCGTCATGGCTGTACTCTGCCAGAGCTTTTATTTAACACCATGCTTCCACTCGCCCTGTGTGTATGTGTGTGTGTGTGTGTGTGTGTGGGGGGGGGTTTGTGTGTGAAAGAAAGTGATTTATTCTGTGTGTGCTTCAAGAACACGTTCAGTTTTCTATATCGACACCGCAGGTCTTCATGTTGCCTGAAGATGTGTGTGTGTGTGTGTGTGTGTGTGTGGGTGTGTGTGTGTGTGTGTGTGTGTGTGTGTGTGCTCTCATGTTGAGGGTGGTGGTCAGGGACTTCTAGCCAGATTCTCATTAGCCAGCTGCAGCATCGCAGCAGTATCTAATGAACTCCACAGAAGTGTATTGTCTCCTCCACACAGCAGGGAAATGACATTATGGAGCTCATCTTCTCCGTCTTCCTTCTTCCGACCGGCACGTGCTCACAGCCTCACAGCCTCATCGACACATCGTGGTCTGAAGGCTGTACGGTCTTCTGATGAAGCACCTCTGCCCTTCTACTTTTTGCTCCTCGTATGAAATTTAATAAATACAGTTGAGAGGTGCACAGTTTGTGTAAATGTGCCTTGTCTTAATTGCACAGTGTGGTTTTGATTGTGAAGTCAACAGGAGCCTGAACAACAGCTGCCATTTATGAAAATAAGAAAAATACCTGGATATGTGAAAAGGAAACTGAGAGAAAGATAACCTGATTATTTTAGAAGTGAAATGAATTACTTTCTTATGTTTATGAACTAAAGAACATAATGTGGGTTTATATATTTATAAAGTATATACAGCATTTTTGATCAATAAGAAAGAGGTTGACCTGCCAACCTGCCTCTTTATCGGATGATGTCACGAAAGCTGTCACTCAAACGCTCAAATTTGGGTGATAGTTTATGAAGACATCAGCTAACAGCTAACAGCTAATTCAGTTCATAAACATTGACACTGTTCTTTGAAACACGGTGTCTGACTTTAAAGTTGCTGTTAATATTACTGTAATGTGTGGGAGTCTTAAAGGATTTACAGTGTTTGTAACAAGTCAAAGGAGGCAGATCTTTAAACCTCGGAGCTTTCATTTACAGGATTTTCCACTGTGATGCTTAAAGCTTGACTGACTCCTCTGAGGATAAGCCTCTTCATTTTTGCACACACAAAGTAAAAAAAAACCCACACGTTTCTTTTAATCTACATTTACCCAGTGTTAAACACCATGGTTTTTCAAATTGAACAGGACTAAGAAGAGTGGAGAAAACGTAAAGCGATGTTGCATCAGAAACCACAGGGAAGGGAAGAGGAAAGGAGGGAAAAGGCCAGGTTGTAAAGCAGTCTGAAAGCACATGTTCGCAGACATCAATTTTGCAGCTACTGAAGGATGTGGACGGTCGCCAGCATTTTCTCAGGCACATTTCACTGAATTCCTCACTTTGGGAATAAGACTTCCTCTAATTAAGAAGCCTCCATCACCGCCTCTGTCCTCTGTTCCTCTCTCTCTCTCTGCTCCTTCTCACTTCACCTCACCCAATTTTCTGAAGAAAAATGTCTCTCCTTTTTCACCACCATTGTCTATATCTTCTTTTCCTTCTTTCTTCTCTCTTTCCGTTTTCTAGGTCCACCAAGGATCATTCTCCTGGCTTTTTTCAGCACTTTTCTTCTTGTCTCAGTATTGTTGAGCAAATCCACTGTAATTAATGTTGGAAGGAAGTGAGGATCAAGGTAGAAACCCACCCGTGGCTTTCTCAGCACAGCTGCAGCAGTGTGAAGCATGTCTTTAATCAGACAGCTGCAACATTGTGTGTTAATAAGAGAGGAAAAATGAGGAACAAAGTCAGTTTGCAGACCTCTCAGTGTTTTGGTTCTTCTTTCCTG